TCCTTGTAGAAGACCCCAGCACCCACCTGGCTACAACCTCCTTTGGGACAGTTGTAGGGAGCAATAAGGTCTCCCCTGAGCCTCCTCCAGACTGAACACCCCCAGCTCCCTCAGCTGCTCCTCACAGGACTGGTGCTCCAGACCCTTCACCAGCTCCACTGCCCTTCTCTGGACTCTCTCCAGCACCTCGATGTCCTTCCTGAACTGAGGGGCCCAGAACCAGACAGAGAATCAGGAGCTTTGCCCGAGCAATGCTGGTCCCTCTCACTTGCAAACTCATCTAAGTCATATTTTCAGGGATGTAATTAGCACAAGAGATCTCCAAACTGGAAGAAGTCCTCGACTAAGGAGGGAATATTTATTGATTGTAGAGAGGATAATGAACCCATCACTTTTTAAATACACAAAGTGAATGATTTCAGTTTACTTTATCTGCACTGTTTAAAATTAAAACTAGGCGTTATTCAGCAGAATCTTTTTCTTTAAGACCCACTCATTAAGTTTAGGTGTCATTGAGGAAAAATTAATGCATATATCCAACTCAGCCAGTAATAGGTGACTGTGCGTACAATGAAATTACTACAATATTTATTTCTGCTTTTTGGACTGTTCTAATTTCTGTGGTTTTAAAGAAGCTTCAGTCTCACACTGTGTTGTGTGTGAAACTAACTATTGAGAACAAGAAATAACTCCACTGACATGGTGCCAGGAGTTGGACCCTTCCAACTCAGATTATTCTATGATTCCATGACTCTGTGATGTAAAGCTGGTATAAACAAGTGACAATCAGGCCCTTTAAGACTAATATATGACCTTTGTGCTCACTGTGTACCCCAGACATAACCTATTTAGGCTCTGAAAATTAGCTCACTTGGATATTTGCCATTTAACAAGAACAACATATATAATGTTTAATGGACATGGATGCACCACTTATGTTCCTTGGTTTATTTTTCTCTTTACAGAAATATTAAATACTGGTAAACTCTCATGCAAGGATTGTTTACATCATCTACAAACTCCAAATGAAACCAGAACTTTGCTGTGCTAGATGCTGTGTAAAAAATCAGGTTTCATACTTCAGAGTGGTTCTACCTTGCGAAGGTGAGGGACAGCAGAGCAGAAGTGAAGGCAGAGAAACGTCACGATACTTATCATAAGGTATGAATTACAGATCAGAGCTTGGAACATGGGTTTCCTGGCACCAGGTTCTGCCCTGGCCATTGCTCTCATGAATTATAAAATCCTAGACATTTGCTGGGGAAGGAGAGTCCCCCAGAGACTGCACTGCAGCTGGTCAGGAATGTTCCAAAGTAAGTTTTGTGTGAAAATTTATATTTGTCAAAGTGGAAACACTTCCTCAAAGACAACTTGTTTCAAGAAGGTTTTTTTTCTCAGCCATCTCCCAGGTCAGAGAGCCCTACCCCAAACGCCCAACAGTGAGTGACAGAGGGCATCCACCCACACTGCACCAGCCCCGCCTTCACTGTTCTCTTTTCTTCATTCAAAAGTTTTTAAAGGTCTCATTTTTGTCTGATACAGAATGGAAAACACCTCTTGAAATGTCAGGAGTTTTTCACAAGTGACACTTGGTTTTTTTGCTGACTGGCCCTGGACTACACTCTGTTTGCCTCCCCACAGCCCTCGTGTTGCTTTCTGCCAAGAATAGCCACATTTCACCCCTCGCAGTTAATCTGGAGTCGAAGCCTCTGGGAAACTGCACTGCTGCAATTTTTAGCTTAATTTGCCAGTGTAGAGTTTTCATTAATGCAGCTAATCCAGCATCTGGGTATGGGAGCTTAAACTCCTCCCTGCAGCCCAAGAGCAGCACTGATCAAAAGAAGAGGCAGCACAAGAAGGCAAGAAAAGAGTCCTCACAGTCCTACAGGCAGGTCAGTGCCAGCTCCCCTCATTGCACACCTTTTGGCTTTGATTCTCTTCCTTGAGAATTTAGCTTTCCTCAAAACATTTGTGGAGGACTATATATACCTGAAAGACGTGTAGGTGGATATGAGGTGAATGCAAGAAATACATCAGTAAACCTGGTTTCCTCAGTTTGAGTGGGAAGGCTGAAGGAAGAGAACAAGTAGCAGCAACAGGAAGATGAAAGCACAGAGTATGAAGGAGCCTGGAACTGGTACTCGGAGTAGCCTCTTAGGCCAGGTTTTAGCCCAGATCACTAGTCGTTTCTTCATGTTTCTGCTACTGGTGATCCTCTTGTTACATGGATCTCACCTGCTTGGTGAGGCTTAAAGAAAAAAAAAAAAATGGTACCCAAGTGCTGCGAGGGCTGGAAGGTTTAAACCAGAGCTTGCTTATGGATGACTGGCTCAGCCTAAGAAGGGAATAACAAAGCCGCTTGAATGACAGCTTGGATCAAGTTCATAATGACCTGGTTTGTACAGGCCAGGTGTTATGTAGATTGGAGCTTGTTATTGTGAAAA